GCCCGGGCGGCCGCCCGCTGGCCTGCACGCCGGCCCGCGCGGGCTCGCGCTGCGACCTGGGCCCCCGGTGGCTGCCTCCCGAAGCGCCCTGCCGCCCTGTGCCTTCCCGCCCCTCCACTGTGGGGCCGACAGGTGGCGTGGTGGCTAAGGGCGCCTGACTGCCACGTGGTTGACCGCGGTTCGAGTCCTGGGCCCGGTGTGTGCTTTCTCTCTCTGTCCCTCTCTAGTCAATTCTTTTTAGAAAGCTCCGCTCTTCGTCCTCTGTGCACTCTTGCCGCCTGCAGTTAGGCGGGGTCAGGCGTCTCTCAGCCTCCCGCCCTCTGTTACCGTGTAGGTGGGACTCCCCGGCCGATGCCACCTACCGAGGCCCCCAGCCCAGCCCTGTCGCGGTGGCAGTGTCAGCCCCCACTCCGTGCACACTCGGGGCCTGGGCACGTTTCCCGGGGCTCCCTCCCGCCTCCTGGGTGCCCAGGCTGTCCCGCTGAGGCTGCAGGCCTAGTCCGCCCACAAGCAATGCCGTGGCCACATCTGGGGACTCCCTTAATAAAGCTGTGGGGTCCCCCAGTCACTTACTCTTCCTTTCCTGGCTCAGACTTTCCTCTCTAAACGACACAATTTAAAGCCCCGAATTGTGGACGCGAGTTCCCACAGCCGAGAACATCCTAGATTCGGAAGGTGACATCAGAAGAGCTTAACTCCCTAAGTTGGTTTGGAAGACACAATTCTTGTTTAGATATTTAAGTTCTGGTACACCTGTTTAAAATACTGCTTTCTCGGGACCAGCAGATGTTATCATGGTTATGTCGCTGGACTCCCTCATGGTCAACTATGGTTCAAGTCCCAGACCTGGTGGCTTAAAACTGATGCCAGGCGTTTGTATGTGCATGCTTAAAATCCCGAGAGAACAGAGAAGGGATTGCCGAGTGGCGATCCCCCTGGGGGGATGATTTCTTGCTTTCTCTCTCTGGCTAGCACACATACTCTAGAGCAAAAATATCTCTAAAATACAAAAATAAAAATGAATATATATAGTTTTCTAGTCAAAGCTAATATACATAAATTACGAGTTTTAAAAAATCATGCACTTGAATTTTTGCCATATAGTGTGTGCTTGCCAGAGAGAGACAGAGAGGGGAAGTGAGAAATCACCCCCCTACACACACCGTGATCCGTTCTCCTCTTACGGTTTTGGGCATACACACAAAAGTGCCCAGCATGATGTTCAAGTCACCAATCTGGGACTCAAGCCACTGTCCACCACGTGGGAATCCGTCACCTTAACCACCATGCCACTTGCTGGTCCCGATCATCGATTATTTTAAGATACAAGAAAACTATTTTGAGGGTAATTAAATTTTCCAGTGTAATTCAGAAGGTACTCTGGCACAAATAGTTTGAGCCATTTTTCAGTGATCTCTTTTCAACTACAGATGTAGAATAGCTTCGGAGACTGCACTGACTACATGCTAAACGCCTAATGTTTTTTAATAGTCTTTTTAAAAAGATGTATTTATTCATTCATTAATTTTCATTTAATTAGAGAGATGAGGGGTGGGGGTGGTGAGAAAGCAAGCCACCAGGTCCAGGACTTGAACCATGGTTGGCCACGTGGGAGAGTCCAGCGCCTTAACCACCCCACCACCTGCTGGTCTCTGCCCTAAAGGTTTTTTTTTTTTTTTTTTTCTGGAAACTCCCTACCTGCTTGTATATTTTAACTCTGTATCTCTTTATTAAATGCTGCAGAGTTTGTGATCTTTCACTGTTTGGATTTCAGAATAAATAGGGATTTACCTTTTTTTAGGTTCTCCAAACTTTAAAAAAAATCAGAAGTAATCTAAAAATTCACTTTTCAGTGTGGTTAAAACCACTGCAAATCATGAACACCAATACACATTTTTAGAGTTTGAAATCTATTAATTTAAACTTATGGAGTACAGAAGCAGAATATAGTGAAAACTGTATTTTTATTGCCTTTTCATTTCAACAATGATTAAACTTAAACAAACAAACAGCCTATGGGACTAGCGGTCGCTGAAGCGCCAGACCTTGGCGGCCCACTTCAGGTTCTCCCTGAGCCACTTGAGGGCGGAGCAGGGCTCCAGGCTGCACACCTGCTCCTTGTCCACGTTGACCGTCACGTGCTTGATGAAGAGCTTCGGGTCTGAAATACGGGCGGCAGTGATCAGCCTTCTTACCGCGGCCTGGTAGTCGTCTTTGCTCCGAGATTTGTTTTCTTCACATCTGCGAAGGGAATACCTCGCAGTCAGAAACCCAGAAGGAAACTAGCCTCAGCTCCTTTGCACGGAGGCACCACAGCATCCTCCTGGCATCTCGGGGGTGGTTTGCTGAGATGTCAGTGTCACACTGAGACACTCAGGCAGCCTGTGGGGTCCCCGAGGCTTCCTACCCATGAGACCTCCGCGTGAGCAGGCTGGGAAAGCCCCACTCCCACCCCTAGCCCCACGACGCAGGAGGGAGACCAGCTCCTGACCACACCCTGACTCCGGCTAGATGCCGATGCCAGGCCAGCTGACAGAGCCTGAGCCAGAAGACCCACAGAAGGCACAGCAATCACGTCTGTGTGTGAAGCCACTAGGAGTCCTGGGAGACCCTTCTATTGAGAGGTGCTGGTTAGGGCTGACAAGAAATCAAGCAGGCCTCAGCTCTGGGGCCTCGGACATCACTGGCCAGGGTATCACTTGGCTCGACACCTGCATTGTAATATCTGTGCAATCTGGAGCCCAGGCTGCCAGGTTCATCTCCGCAGTACTCCTGCCCGAGCCTAACGAGGCAGCACACAGTGCCCTCTTAGACCCGGCCCTGAGAGCTCTGGGACTTACGTGAAGACCTTTAGGTATGGGTCTCTGAACACAGGAAGGCCGGTACCCAGCGAGGACCCACCTTTGAACACTGAGCATCACTGACGTCACCGAAGCAGTCACTGACGCTGCTAACCTGTTTGGTTAGCAGACCTGTGTGACGTCTCTAATGGTTCTAGCCTTTTTCCAATTTAAACATTACAAAAGATTGCAGCATATAGGTCAAGTATAGGCACACTTAAATATATAAATATATGCGTATAAATACGTAAAGTATGCGTCTCCTGGGACGGCGTGGGGAACCACAATCTGTTTTCAGAATGAATTGAAGTTCTATCTGCTGACCTTTTCAAAACGATCTGCAGTGCCTGTGTGGACGCGCCCGGACTCTGGATACTGCTCGCGTTGGCTACCAGGAAGACCTCCACAGCTAAAAGCATTTCGATCTCAGATAAGTAAGAAGGGATCAGCAGGAGTTTGCGGTAGATGCGTCCCTCCGATGGCGGGTAGCACCCCAGGGAGAGAGCACCTGGAAGTCGAACAGAAGGTCAAACAGTGCTGAGACCTCCGTGGGTGGAAGCTCAGCGTCCTCCCCACCCACAGGGTGAGGGCACCTACACCGAGTGTGGCCCTTCACGCCAGGCGCAGGTGCAGGCGCGAGTGCAGCACACAGAGCACATGGCAGCGAGCTCACCCAGTGCTGCTGGCGTTATTCTTGGACAGGCTCTTTAGAGGTGTTCAATATGGAGGGAGAACTATTAAGAAACCTCTCTCACTGTTTTTAAGTCTCGCTGTGCCAAGTGCCCATTTTAAGCCGCACTGGACATAACATAATCCCAACGTAACTTGGACAGTTTTCAGGAGGTATGGTCTAATGGCATCGACGTCTACTTATGCCTATCTCGAATCATGAACCCAAAGTATATAAAGAGAAGAGAAATGGCAATCGGAGATTTTACTTCTCATCAAATAGTTACCACAGTACATCTCAGTACACTGTTTTCTCTTTCACTTGCTAGACGGTATGTACACTCACTAGGGAGAGAGACAGAGATGGAGGGAGAGAGAACATCCCCCAATGGGGCATGGCCCTTCTGCGACCACTTCTCCTCCATTTTCCCTCCTGTCGGGATTCTGGACACACACACACATGTACCTGGTGTGTTCTTTCAAGTCACTGGGGCCAGGATTCAAACTGGAGCTGTGTGTGGACTCTGGCTCACGTCACCGCGGGGCCAAGGCTGGCCCACTGCACACGTACTCGGTGCCATGAGCTGACCCAGGACCTACTGCTCCCACCCTGTACCCGGCCCTGTGCCGAGCACCGATGTAAACACACTCCCACCCTTCAGTGCTCTGCGTGCCATGGCTGCTCTCGCCAACTGGCGCCCTAGAAGCTCCACACACTTAACTGCCAATGGTCCAGGTCTTAGCAGAAAGGACACACACAGAAATCCCCCCCAAAGCTCCTAGGACACCCAGATCATACACCGGCAGGTTAGGTTGCTTTATTTCACTGAAACCGGTTTCGATCTGCATGTAAAACCTGCTTAAAATGTTTTGTTAATGGGCGCGTGTGCAGGCATGCCCAAAGTCCTGAGAAGAGGAGGAGAAGGGACTGTGGTGTGACTATTCCCCCTGGAGGCTGATTTCTCACTTTCCCTCTGGAAGTGCACATGCCCTATGACAAAAATCTAAAAAAAAAAAAAAAAAAAAAAAAAAAAAAAAAAAAAAAAAAAAAAAAAAGAAAGAAAAAAGTTCTGTTAGGGTAAGTTTTGGGCTGGCCCTATGTCCTGGTCATTAAGGGAGCAGGATCCCACGTGGCCAACTCCAGTTCAAATCCTTGCTTCGGTGGCTTGAAAAGCACACTGGGTGCATGTGCGTGATGCCCAAACCCCAAGAGGGCGGAGAACTGGAAATGGGACTTCACGTGATCACACCCCACCGAGGGCACTTCCTCCTCTCTCCTCTCTGGAGAGTACGTGTGCCCTCTGGGAATTTAAAAAAAAAAAAAAAAGGTAAGTTTCTTCAAAAAAACCTTCCCATGTGGATGATGGACCTCCGAGGACCTATGAGGTGTGAGGCACCTGCACTACACACATCATAACTGACAAGTCAGGACTTGAAGGCAGGTCAGTCGCTCCCGTGACGGGCCAGCGCCCTGGGTGGGCACTCAGGTGTTGAGGCCAGGTGAGACCCTGGCTCTCTGGCTGCAGAGCCGGGCTCCTGAGCACTCGGTGTCCTACTCCCGAGGTCACTGCCAAGGGCAATGCATGTGCCTTGCTGGCTTCCCAAGCTGTGGCAGGTGCAATTCACGTGGACTGTTTCATGGTTCTGACCAGAAGAGGAAGACATTTTAAAAATAACAAGTAAAAATGTACTGTTTTTTCCCCCTAAAACCAGAAGAAAGAACACAAGAAGAAAAATTCTCCCCGATTTTGCAGGGGATATAACAGAAATACACACTGGTCACATCTCCCCTCCTGACTTTTCGGCATCAAGAAAAAAAGCATTATCTCTTTTTCCTTTTTTTTTTTTTTGGAGGTTTTTGCTATAGGGCACGTGCGCTCACCAGAGAGAGAGAGACAGAGAGATAGAAAGTGAGAAATCACCCCCCAGGGGGGATGGCCACACCACAATCCCTTCTTCTCCATTCTCCTCTCGGGATCTTGGGCACGCACGCACACGCGCCCGGTATGAGTTTAAGCCACCGGGTCTGGGACTTGAACCGCAGTCGACTACATGGGAGTCCAGCAACGTAGCCATTATACCAACTTCTGGTCCCAAAAAGCATTCTTTAGGGCCAGGAGAACACATGGGGAACCGATCGGAGGAAGCGACTTTGCTGTCCCTGGATAAGTTCCTGCTTGGGAGTCTGAGAACAAAGGCAAAGCGAAGCCTTCAAGAACGTGAAAGGCAGCCCAGACCAGCACTACATCCGCTGTCACATATGCAAATCCTGAAGGTTCTCCATTATTTCAAACCCTATTGAAATGGAGCTGGGGAGCCAAGAAGGAAGGGCCCTCATGAGTCTGTCCCTGTAACAGAAGTACAAGGAGTCGCACCAACAGGAATTTTTGATCAAGCCCTGCTGCCTGTTCTGAAACGGCTTCAGTAGACACACTGTCTGTCACCTTCCCAACCTCTGTAGATGCAACGAGGGTCTGCCAGAGTCACTGTATCCCAGACGCCGCCCTCGCTGGTCCTGGGTAAGCTCCGTTTCCCTGGTGCTTACTGTAATGCCACTGTGCATGTGTATTCGCTTGCAGCTCAATTAGAGAACACAAATAAAAAGTGGGCAAAGGGGTCAATAAGACATTTCTCCAGAAAGACACAAAGGGCCCCTAAGCACACGTGATGGTGCTCAGTGCCACTCCGTCGTTAGACGGAGACCCTGTGAGACAGTCACCCACACACCAGGAAGGCCAGGAGGACGGTGTCGGAGAGGCAGAGGCAGGGCTCTGGGACAGAGACGTGCTGAGGTGCAGCTCCTCACATGGTGGGCTGGCGGCTCTGCGAGATGCTGAACACGGACTCGGTACAGGCGCAGACACTGCGTGAATGTCTGGGCGGCCAGAAAAGCAAACGACTCAAACGTGCATCAGCCAGCGAGGGGACAACAGAGTATTATTCAGCAATAAAAAGAAATGATGCCATGACACAGCGACGCCGCCATGAACTTGCAAGCTATGCTAAGGGTGCGAAGCCAGTCACAAAAGCCCGCACACGACACAACCCACTTTGCTGCCATCTGTCGGGACAGAGACAGAGGCCTGGGGCTAGGGCGTGGCGGGAAGACCCGCCAGGAATGAAGGCTGATGTCACAGGGCTTCCTTTTCTGGAGGCACTCAAGGCATTCTCAGGGGGAATTGTGCTGACACGCTGCGACCGCTCCGGAAACCACTGCACCGAATGCTTTAAGTGGGGGACTATATATATATGAGTTTATCTCATAAAACCATGAAGAATAATAAGACAGGGCTAGTCCCACGGTGCAGTGCTTGGGCACGGGGCACAGGAAGCCAGGTCCCACGTGGCTGACCGGGGTTTGTGTCCTGGTCCCGTCAGTGTGAAAAGCACAACAGGTGCACGAGAGTGCCCAGACCCTATGGGGTGACAGCCTGCAGGAAGCAGGGCTGTGCATGACCAGGCACTGCTGGGGGTGCTTGCAGGTTCCCCGCCCTCACTGCACACCCTTTCTGGCATTAAAAGAAGACTATGAAAAAAGGGTCGACCTGTGGCACGGTGGTTAAGGCAGCTGGATTCCACACGGCTGACTGTGCTCTGAGACCTGGACCCAGCAGCTTGAGAAAGCCACCGAGTGCGGGTGCGTGTGCCCTAAATCCTGCTGGGAGGGAGGGACGGAGGAGAGACCAAGTGTGACCACGTCTAGGAGGGTGCTTCCTCTCTCTGGTGAGCACAAGCACCCTGTGGCAAAGTAAAATAAAGTAAAAAATTTAAAAAGGCAGAAGGCACTGGCCCTGCCTTCTCAACAGCATCTTGACACAGAATGAGACGAGCCTCACCCCAAATCAAGTCCTACGAGATGTGCTTCGAGACCCGCGTGGCCGTCCATGCACGTGCTAAGCTATGTCTAAGACAAAGCCAGAGGTGACTCCAGCATTCTACACGTCCGCACTGTCGGGAAATGAGGCCTTTCAAAGACTGGTCGGTGGCTCTGAATCCACGCCGTCTCATGATCCAGGCACATCTCTGTAAACAGGCTCTTCCTCTGTGATGTCACTCGCTAAGAAGTCACGAAGCAGGAGAGGAAGGCCGAGGTGCGACCGGGTGAGAGGAGTACAACCCGGAAGGAGTCTCCGAGGGGCGCAGGGCCGGCTGTCTGGGATCGCAAGGAGAGACGGTAGCACGGTTTCTCTGGGGAGGGACGACGATGCTCTTAAATGGAGTGCAGGGGTGGCCGTGCGACTCTGAGTGCACTTGAGCCACCAGACGACACTTCAAGCGGGTGAGCTGCATGGAACTGAGCTGTATCTTACTAAAGCTGCCAACAATTCTTAAGTTTAGCTGTCTTCATATAACATATATTTCAACCAAAAATTAAGGTGACTTATAGGAGCTGAGTTGGCGCTTTGTCACCGTGGCCTAGAAGCCCTTCTGACGGCATCCTACCAACTGCACGGCGCAGGCTTTGAGTCTGACGGGAAGCGTAAGTCGGCACGCCGCAGGTGTGTGTGTGCTTTCCGGCAGTCCGTCAGGAAGCACTATGAAGAGTTAAGAGCTAACCACAGGGGCCAGCAGGTGGTGTGGTAGTTAAGGCACTGGACTTCTGTGTGGCCTACTGCGGTTCGAGTCCCGGACCTGGCAGTTTGCACTCTCTCTCCCAACCCCCATTTCTCTCTGGTGAACACACCTAGCCTATAGCAAATTAAAATAATAACGTAGACAGAAGTCTGGCAGCTTTTCCCTGTTTTTCCAAAGTCCTCTCCAGAGGGACTAAGGGTAGTCACGCCCCCCAACACTGACAGACCATTTTTTCCATTACCAGGGTTCTTCCTACATCCTGTCCCTGGCATAGTATCTTTTTTTTATTTGGAAAGGTTTTTGCTATAGGGTGCGTGCACGCGCCAGACAGAGACACAAAGTGAGAAATCACCCCCCAGAGGGGATGGCCACGCCACAATCCCTTCTCTTCTCCTCTCGGGATCTTGGGCACGCACGCACATGCGCCTGGCGTGGGTTTTAAGCCACCGGGTCCGGGACGAGAACCGTGGGAGTCCAGTGACATAGCCATTATGCTAACTGCTGGTTCCCGTGGCACAGTATCTTTGAGATATATATTTCAACCAATTACAGTATATTCTTTTGCTTATCTCTTCCCAAGACACAGAACTTCCCTTTCCTTGAGATGTAGATTAAGCAATTCTTTAACTAATCTCTCCCCAAGACACAGATCTTCCCTTCCAATCACCAACCTAGGAATTGTGGAACCCACCTACAACCTACACAACCCCCCACAACATGTCCCCCCTTTTTGGGCCAGACTAATGGAAATCCCTTCACTAATTTTGTCTGTCACTCTCAAAATCAAATAAAAGGAGCCCCTGTACCTGATCACCCCGAGAAAGGCATGTCTGCCTCCTCTCCGGGCCTCGGTCACTCATATTCTGCTTGGAAATAAACCACATTAATTATTATTTTTTTTGGAGAGGTTTTTGCCATAGGGCGCATGTGCCCGCCAGAAGGACAGAGAGACACAGAGAGATAGAAAGAGAGAAATCAACCCCCCGGGGGGATGGCCATGCCGCAATCCCTTCTCCTCCATTCTCCTCTCGGGATCTTGGGCACGCATGTACACGTGCTCGGCATGAGTTTAAGTCACCGGGTCTGGGACTCGAACCGTGGTCGGCTACATGGGAGTTCACTGACATAGCCATTACACTAACTGCTGGTCCCAATTATTAATTTTTTAGAGTTGGTTATTTTCCGTTGACAATAAAATAAAATAAATCTAAAAAAAAGCTAACTACAAAATTGAAATGAGGTGTTAGGAACAAACAATTATATTTTCCTTTGAATTTCAGATCACCCTTTTAAAAAAAACTTTACATTTAAAACTTCTTTTGAGGGACCAGCAGATGGTGTAATGGCTATGTTGCTGGACTCCCATGTAGTCGACCACAGTCTGAGTCCTGGACGCAGTGGCTTAAACTCACACCAGGCATGTGTGCATGCGTGCCTAAGATCCTGAGAGGAGGATGGAGGAGAAGGCGTTGCGGTGTGGCCATCACTCTGGGAGGTGATTTCTCACTTTCTGTCTGTCTGTCTCTGTCTTTCTGGTGAGCACACGTGCCCTACAGCAAAAACCTCTCCCCAAAAAAAAGAAAAAAGAAAAATTCTTTTGATTATAACTTAAAACTGGGAAATGCATTTTACAAAATGATAGTCTACATACATACACACATATACGTAACTAAAATGAAAATTGTGTCAAGTCCTTAATCTTACTACCTGTAACGCAACCCAATAATTTTCTACCATTTTATTGGGAGAAAAAGTTACCACCTGTTCATGGATCACACTGACACCATCACAGGTGGTAGTCTGAAAACCCTTTCCAGCTCAGTTGGGTGTAGCTGGAATGTCTGACATACCTGGCACAGGGCGACACATGTCAGGCACTCGAATTCTTGTTACATGCAGAGGTCTTCAAAAAGTTTATGGAAAATGTACACTATAAAAAACTGCATGGATTTAAAAATGTTTTTGTAGCAAAATAAACTCGCAATTTAATTCTATTTTCTGAAGTCTCTCATATACATGATAGTAGTAGAAATGGAAATTTAAGACAAATTATTGCATGAAAGTAGCAAAAAATGCCTTTTATAAGACAGATTTTTGCTGTGGGGGTGTGTGTGCTCACTGGAGACAGAGAGAAAAAGTGAGAGAAATGAGAAACCACGCTCCAAGGGGACGGCCACCACGACCCCTCTCCATCCTCCTGGGACTCTGGGCATGCATGCACATATGCCTAGTGTTGAGTTTTGAGCCCCTGGATCTGGGACTCAAACCATGGTCAAACATGTGGGAGTCCAGTGCGTTAACCACCACGCCACCTGCTGGCCCCAGAATTCTGTTGATGTTGCAGAGGGCACACGAGCTCATTTGGTGAGAGAGACAGAAAAAGAAACCACCCCCTACCACCACCAAGGGGCATGGTCACGCCACAACTCATCTCTCCCTCCTTTGGGACTCTTGAACACACATGCCCAGGGTGTTTTTCAGGCCACTGGGTCCAGGACTTGAGCCACATATTCCGCTGCATGGGATCTAGCCACCCTAATTGCTAGGTCACAGGCTGGTTCCAAAAGATTTCTTTTCTAGATCCAGATTCTACATGGAATTACTTTCTAATGAAGGTATTTGCATGGTGGCAGGGACAAGAGAAAGCACTGCTCCTCCAGGCTTCCTTGTTACGGAGAGACAGTTGTAAGTACTGATCGGGCTCTACCGCTAGAAGCCATGTGACCTGCACCACACGATGGTTAGGTGCCCTCCGCACTTCCTATGTGGTCTGCTGTCGATGGTGCACTAAGTTCTAGGCTGGGGACACAGCAGGGTGGAGAACTCGTGCAGATGTTCATCGCCCACACTGTTTCACTCCCGTGTTGTTTATCAGATACGCCAAACTGCTTTGAACTCTCATTTATTCCCTCCGTATGTCCCAGAGCTGACATACCAATGTGCAAAGAAATCGGTAAGCCTTGGAGACAGAAGAGAAATAACAGGCTTCAAAAGACAGCCGAGGTCTGCTTAGAACACCACCTCTGAATATACATCAACTGCACCTCTTACACATTTAAATATCTAGTCTTAAGTGGATTCTCGGTTACAAACCAAAATTCAAAACCAGTACATCAAATTAAGAAGATTTTAAATGTAACTTACTTTTGTAGTGGGCTCTGGCTTTGAGCCATAAACAGCTCCTTCCTAAAGAAGTAATTAATCTTCTGAGAAAGGAAAAATCAATAGGGACGTTGTTTGAAATCATGAATTCTGCCACAGAAGATGACATACCAAGACTGTTGCTTTCTATACAGGCATCTAGAAGCTTATTGAAAAGAAGGCTATACTGTGAGACTTCCACTTTTTCTGAAATGAAAAAAAAAAAGATAGAATGAAAATCTATTTTAAGGTCAAACATCTATTTATTTTTCCTTTTGTTTTTAAAAAAAGATTCATCTAATTTTATTATTTTTTTTAAATTGGCTACAGGATACATACACTCCCGAGAGAGAGAGAGAAAGCAAGCCGCCAGGTTCAAAACTTGAACTGTGGTCAGTGGTATGGGAGTACCGTGCCTTAACCATCATGCCACCTGCTAGCCCCTTCTTTCTGCTTTTTAATGTTGCTAGAGGGTGCATATATTTGGTCAAGATCGACAGAGGAGAGGAGAAAGCACTCCCAATGAACATGGTCAAGCCACAACCCTTTCTCCTTCAGAGCTCCCTCCTTTCAGGATTTTGGGCATACAGGCAGACGCACCTGGTGTGTTTCTCAAGTCACTGGTCCGAGACTCAAACCACGCATGTGGCATGTGGGATCCATCTGATACACAAGGCCACGGAGCCAGCCCTCCTACTTCTATTTCTTACTCCTTTCCCCTCTGCTCCCCTAGGCCCTTTCTTACTGCCACAGAAGTCACAGTCACTAAAACCCAGTCACTTTACACATTCCCCAAGAAACAAAAAAGCACTGGGCGAGAGCTAAACCATGCATTCCCAGGTAACAGAGGCTGTGAGAGGGCTGGCCGCAGCTCTCCAGGCCATGGGCTCCCAGGTAACAGGGACTGTGAGAGGGCTGGCTGCACCTCTCAAGACCATGGGCTCCCAGGTAACAGGGACTGCGAGAGGGCTGGCCACAGCTCTCCAGGCCATGGGCTCCCAGGTAACGGGGATGTGAGGGGCTGGCAGCGGCTCTCCAGGCCATGGGCTCCCAGGTAATGGGGATGCCAGAGGGGCTGGCCGCAGCTCTCCAGGTGCCTGAGCCTCTGCTCTGAGCCCCGCTGGCTCCGTCTCTGCAGAGTGACAACTGCATGATTCCGTCTACACAGAGCACCAGCTTAGACCTCAACCTTCTCTTTCCCATGGACAAAACCCAACCACCCCCTAGTAAGACTTGTTAAAAGAAAAACAAACTAGCCAATTTAATAGAATTTGTTTTCTTTCTTTCTTTTTTTTTTTGGAGAGGATTTTTTTGCTATAGGGCGTGTGTGCTCGTCAGACAGAGGGGTAGAAAGCGAGAAATCACCCCCCAGAGAGGATGGCCATGCCGCAATCCCTTCTCCTTCATTCTCCTCTCGGGATCTTGGGCACGCACGCACACGTGCCCGACATGAGTTTAAGCCACCGGGTCTGGGACTCGAACCGCGGTCGACTACAGGGGAGTCCAGCGACATAGCCATTACGCTAACTGCTGGTCCCTAGAACAGAGTTTTAACAGAGTCAATCTTAACACTGTTTACATTGGGCAGTTGTCCTCGGCCTTCCCGACAACTCTGGCTGGCCTGGTGGTCAGTTCGGCATTTCCACTGGTGAAACAGGAATGGGCTGTGTGAAAATGAGAGTGAGGGGTGGGGAGGTCATCGGTTAGTTCTGAAGTCTGTCTATATTAACACGGTTAAAAGGTGGGATGCCTGGGACTGACTGAAGTCTAGCTGCTGTGACTGGCTGTAGCCTAGCAACCAGCTCAGAAAGACAGATGAACACGTAGGATCTCGGCTCTCGTAGGAATCCAAGCGTGGGAGTACAGCGCCTGTTTTAGGCCAAAATAGTTTAACAGAAATTTACTCTCAAAAAACCAAAAAATCCTTTGCGGGTGTTTTCACTCCTTCTACCACTGTAAGAGCGTGAAGCCATCCTGGAGACTCCTGGTTCTCTGACGCCATACATCCAGTAGGCTGGTCACTACCACTCTGGGCTCTTCGGTGACCTAGGCCTTACGTGGAGACGACCCTTTGTCTTTATCCCCATCCTCAACGCTGTCACCAAGGAGCTTGTCCTCACACTCCAGCCTCACTGCATGGCTCACAGGCTCCAGCACTCTACTACACAGAGGAGATGCCTTCAGCTTCCGTTCAGGCTCTCCCAAGGTGGGCGCAGCTATGTCCCATCTCCTCCTTGCTATTCTGTCCTGTTACTGTAACTGCGTAGGAAGGGCCTGCTGGGGAGCAGCCCCTGTGCCAGGGATGCCAAGGGGAGGGAGGCATGGGCCAGAGGGGGCTGGGTCGAGTTCCCGGTGGCCTGAGCATACTGGGTGCAGCTCCATCTGCCTGTGGTCCTAGCTAACTGGGAAGCTGGGGCAGGAGGGCTGTGTGTGGCACGGTGACACCTGGATAAGAAAAGCATACCAATGTCTGTCCACCCCTTCCCCCTGCCTCTCTCCCTTCCTCTCCCCCTCTCTCACAGAAGGGGAAAAAAGCAGGTCCACACGTGGGTTACAATACCCAGCAGGTGTGGGGTAAAGGGAGAGAAGACCTGGGGGCCGGGAGGCAGCACCACAGGAGGGCCTCAGAGGCCCCACACAGCTCCCTCCTGACCCACAGCTTTCACGCTGTGGGTGGGTCCCCCCTTCCCGCCCACGCGTGACTCCAGCTCTAAGATTCAAGACCACTGCCTGCCAGTGCCTGCACCGCCATTCTGAACTTGTCATCCCGCCCCACTCCCTCTATCCACTCCGAGTGACTGACGTCCCAGGGAGTGTAAGCTACGCTGTTTTATTATACAGCGGAAGAGGCACGGCATCACTCGTCATTCCAGTGCGAGGATTCTCCGAGCCATGGCGACTGCCATTGCCAGGGCCTTCAGGTACATCTGATGATGACGTGGCAGGGAGGGAGAGGGAACACGCAGGTGCTTCTGTGGGGACTGCTGACAAGCACCCGATTCCTGAATTCACTAGGAAAGCGTATTCAATATGCAAAGAACACATTTTACAGAAAGCTGTTTCATTGGGAAAATATGCAGGAATATAAATTTCAACCAAAACAGGTAGAGACTGTTTCTGATTAACAGTTAAACACCAGATGGGAAGAGAGAATTAAGCTAGACTCTTAAGAAACACACCTTGGGAGTTCTGAAAGCCCGGCAGGTTCTGCAGAACTTCAAATGTCTGTCTGTACAGGCTCTTGCCCAAGATCTCGTGTGCAATCGTACAGAGCAGAGCACGCCGGCTGAGCACATCCAGTCTGCCACATGGCCACAGGGGCGTGCTGATGGTCCACTGTGACTCTTCCAAAAAGGAAAATACGAACACTTTACTCCAGGAAAATCACAACAATGTACCCACACTAATGGGTTAAGATACCTTTTTTTTGGGGGGGGGGAGGTTTTTGCCATAGGGCGTGTGCGCTCGCCAGACAGAGACAGAAAGCGAGAAATCACCCCCCAGGGGGGATGGCCTCGCTGCAATCCCTTCTCCTCCATTCTCCTCTTGGGATCTTGGGCACGCACGCACACACGCCCGGCGTGAGTTTCAAGCCACTGGGTCCGGGACATGAACTGCGGTTGACTACATGGGAATCCAGCTACAAAGCCATTACACCAACCGCTAGTCCCCAATATCTTTTGGAGAGGGGACAGCAGGCAGCGTGGTAGTTAAGGCGCTGGACTCTCACACTGTCGACAGCGGGAGGGGGTGGGAGGTTGCTTTCTCACCTTCCTTTCCTCTCTCTCTCTCTGGAGAGTACATATGCCCTACAACAAATTAAAACGAGATGATAATGGGGCCAGCAGATGGCACAGTAGTTACATTGCTGGACTCCCAACGTAGTCAGCCGAGCTGAGAGTCTTAGACCTGGCAGCTTAAAACTCACACCAGGCGCATGTGCGTGTGTGCCAAAGAACCCTCTGCTCTCGTTGTTAAGGAAACAAAATTAGCCCAGAATGAACACCCCCACGTGCAGGTGTAAACCTGTATAGGGCAAATTCCAGAAATGGAGTTACTAATTCAAAGGAAATACGCATTTTTAACTTGTATTTTGTCAAAAAGCCCCTCAAGACAACCTCCGTGAGTATGCATTTCTCTACACCCTCATGAAAAGCTTCTCCTCGACCCTCGACCTCCGACAGCCTGCCAGGCCCAGATGGTGCTGTAACTGAACTGTGCTTTAGCTTCTTACAAGGGAGATGGAGCCACTTGGACTTTCCCTTGCAAGGCAGGCCTGCTCACTGCACAACCCTCTGAAAAATCAAACAGTTCTTGAGACAGCCAGGCAAAGCTCTGTGGGCTCCCTTTTTGAAAAAATAAAAATTTACTTAGGAAAATTACTTTCCATTGAAATTGTCACTGCAAAAGAGAATCCCGTGTTTGTAACTGATAGAATTCTAAAGATATTCTCAAAATTGAAACACCAAACTTGGAACCTTCACGGCCACTCCAATTCCCTCACGAACTACCCCGCTAGTTTGAGAAGGCAATCTCGCAGGAGACCTCTAGGCAGAAGGCTCCTGTCGAAGCTGGCCCACCCTGCCGTAACACCCTCGCCCTCCCCACTGCTGCCACGCCTCCTCTCAGCGTGGGAGCTCGGGCCTGCTTCGCTCATTTCCACCTCTGTGTCTTGTTCACGCTTCCCACTTCGGAAACCTCCCTGGCTGTTGGTCAGGCTGCTGAAACCTTTCCCAGCAAGCTTCTGACCAGAGCACCAACTTACACCCTGTGTTCCCTAAGCTCTCCGAAGCTGACGAGTAAGAGGCATCCCCCCGAGGGAGGGCGCACAGGTGCCAGTCCACGTGCCACCGAAAGCTGTCTGTGCTAGTCATGTACAGTCCGTCCTCTCACCCGGACGCAGGCCCCTGAGGTGTCTTCAATCGGACCTCACTTCCTTGGTCTGGCATCCAAGCAGCCAGCGCTATCGATGAGGCCGCACTGTCCCTACTGTGTGCGCCCCGTTCTTATCCCTTCACAGCAAACTGGCCTAGGTGACTTCTCTGGCTGCATCCCTGCGGCAGGACAGCCCTGCCAGGAGAAGGAGCTCATGTCCCGATGCAGCACCTGCCCTGAACGCTGACCCAGGCTCTGAGGCAGGGCTGTGGCTGCCTGTGGCCCCCACTCCTTACCTGCCAGGCCGTCTGGGGCAAGTGCTCAGGATCTCTGACATCTCATCTACAAGATCGGGCCTGTAACATTAGGTCCCTGGGAAAGTCGGGACATGTTTTCCCATGGTTTTCTATGCAAAAATGCACTGTTACTTTCCCGAACACCCCACAGCTCCAAACTCGCAGTTCCTATGAAGACTAGTTGGGATCATCCAGGTCAAACGTGGAGCAGGGCTCCCCCACCATATCAAGAGCTAGTTGTTAACAGCAAAGGCTCCACCATTTCTTCTCTGAAGTTAACCCCCTTTCCAGTTTACACGACAGCTCCTACACGTCCACCAGGGTCTTGCCAAGTTACACCCAGAGTTCGGCATCGGTCTAGGGAAGTCCATGTAAGAACCGATGACCAGGTTAACGAGTCGTTAAATACTCACATGTATCAGAACTTACCCCTCAACACCCAAATGGCACCGTCCAGGCTTCCGCTTTTCAGAAAGATCTCAGCAGCAACGTTCACAATTTGACACCTCGGTGCTAATCTCTCGGGCCCTATTAGCCCTTTTAAACTTGTGAAGTGTATTTTTAACTCATATAGTTTATCTAAGACCTTCCTTCCCTAGAGCAAGAACAAAAAACCATGGATTGAGTGTCAGCCCTTTGTGGCTTCACAGACCCCGAGGTCCTGACACCACACCACGGGCTGCTGGGCTGCTCTGCCCAGGGCTCTTCCCCTCAGCCCTTCCTGCCCAGTCACAGAGGGGCAGGGGCAGGGAAGGGGCGGGGCTGGGCCCGCATTACCACACCCCTGTGCTGGCCCTCTCAGCAGCAGTCTTACTCGCTGTGCTCCCCCCAAGGCCCCCCTGCCATAAAAGGCTCTCTGCCTCCGTGTGGAAAACCACGGATTCTGAGTTTTTGCTCAGCTTCTGGGGAGAGGCAAAAACGAAGGCAACTGATCATCAACTCACATAAAGAATGGGGTGGGAAAGGTACATCCACTGGCCGATGTTTCTGGGGGTACTTAACAAACGAATTATTTCACATGATGTACATGAAGATAACCTTTGTTCTAGACACCACGAACTGGAAATGCTGTTATTCTACACTAGGGTTAGTGAGCTTTCCTGTAATAGCCAGATGCTAGCTACTGTTGCTTTTGCAGGTCACACTTGGTCTGTCGTTATGTAATTTTTTGCTGTTTTGAAATTTGTAATTTAAAAGTCTACAAACACTCTTGCGTTCATGCTGCACAGAAACAGGTCCTGATGCCATCTGGCTGCGGCCTCAGCTGCAGACCGTGGCTTATGTCCTGCACCATTTTCACTCAGATGCTTATTTGTCCAAGTTCGTTTTTGGGCACGTGCACTCGCCAGAGGGAGGGAGACACAGAGACAGTGAGAAATCACCCCCGGGGGTGGCCACACCACAGTCCCTTCTCCTCCATTCTCCTCCAGGATCTTGGGTTCGCACACATTCCTGGTGCGAGTTCTGAGCCACTGGGTCTGGGAGTTGAACCGTGGTGGGCTATGCTGGAGCTCCACGATGTAACCACTGCGCCACCCTGCTGGTCCCAACGTGCTTCCCATTCAGTTATATAAATGAGTGCATTTTTCAAGGGGTGCCTTTAGTTCAATCTCAATGGTTTTACTTTTATGTTAAAAAAGAAATAGGCTTCATTAAAACATTCATACTAAATAAGGTGATAAATAATCTTTCCAGATAAGATCATTACATTTTTTTAAGACAGATAGCTATTCACCAATCTCTTAATGTTTTAGGAAATAATGACCAAATAAAATTAATCTACACTCTAGACTTTCAGAAAAACCAGTCTGAGTTTTCAAAAGGTCACTCTAGATTGTCCTCAAATGGCCCAGCAGGTGGTGCAGCGGTTGAGGGTGCTCTGACTCCCACATGGTTGATTGGGGTTCGAATCCCGGACCTGGTGGCTTGCTTTCTCGCTTTCCCTTTCAGTCTGTCTTTCTCTGGTCAAATTAAGAAAAAAAAATAACAAATGTAATTAAATAAATAAATCTTATTAAAAAATTCTGAACTATTAAATAGTGAAGAAGTTCCTGCTGTGACCAACCGTAAGCCAGAGTGTGAGCACAGGGTAAGTCCTGGGACCAGCGCAGGCCAAGTCCCAGAACCAGCGCAGGGTAAGTTCCAGAACCAGCGCAGGGTAAGTTCCAGAACCAGCGCAGGGTAAGTCCCAGGACCAGCGCAGGGTAAGTCCCAGGACCAGCGCAGGGTAAGTCCCAGGACTAGTGCACGGTAAGTACCAGGACTAGCGCAGGTGAGTGCTGTATTTTCCAGAGAGCTCACAACTTGGGGACCTCTGTACAACCATCTCAGGTGTAAAACAAGTTTTCTCATTCATTAGTTTTTGTATGTATACAGATGACCACGTACTTAAATGTGTTTCACATTCAATTGTGAAATAACTTCTTTTAAAAAGTGGCAAGTAATAGGGCCACATGGTGGATAAGGAGCTGAACTCCCACATGGCCAACCACACATTCCTGGTGCGAGTTCTGAGCCACTGGGTCTGGGAGTTGAACCGTGGTGGGCTATGCTGGAGCTCCACGATGTAACCACTGCGCCACCCTGCTGGTCCCAACGTGCTTCCCATTCAGTTATATAAATGAGTGCATTTTTCAAGGGGTGCCTTTAGTTCAATCTCAATGGTTTTACTTTTATGTTAAAAAAGAAATAGGCTTCATTAAAACATTCATACTAAATAAGGTGATAAATAATCTTTCCAGATAAGATCATTACATTTTTTTAAGACAGATAGCTATTCACCAATCTCTTAATGTTTTAGGAAATAATGACCAAATAAAATTAATCTACACTCTAGACTTTCAGAAAAACCAGTCTGAGTTTTCAAAAGGTCACTCTAGATTGTCCTCAAATGGCCCAGCAGGTGGTGCAGCGGTTGAGGGTGCTCTGACTCCCACATGGTTGATTGGGGTTCGAATCCCGGACCTGGTGGCTTGCTTTCTCGCTTTCCCTTTCAGTCTGTCTTTCTCTGGTCAAATTAAGAAAAAAAAATAACAAATGTAATTAAATAAATAAATCTTATTAAAAAATTCTGAACTATTAAATAGTGAAGAAGTTCCTGCTGTGACCAACCGTAAGCCAGAGTGTGAGCACAGGGTAAGTCCTGGGACCAGCGCAGGCCAAGTCCCAGAACCAGCGCAGGGTAAGTTCCAGAACCAGCGCAGGGTAAGTCCCAGGACCAGCGCAGGGTAAGTCCCAGGACCAGCGCAGGGTAAGTCCCAGGACCAGCGCAGGGTAAGTCCCAGGACTAGTGCACGGTAAGTCCCAGGACTAGCGCAGGTGAGTGCTGTATTTTCCAGAGAGCTCACAACTTGGGGACCTCTGTACAACCATCTCAGGTGTAAAACAAGTTTTCTCATTCATTAGTTTTTGTATGTATACAGATGACCACGTACTTAAATGTGTTTCACATTCAATTGTGAAATAACTTCTTTTAAAAAGTGGCAAGTAATAGGGCCACATGGTGGATAAGGAGCTGAACTCCCACATGGCCAACACGGTTCAAGTCCTGGACCTGGTAGCTTGAATATCAAGCCAGGTACATGTGTGTGTGCATGCTAAAATCCTGAGAGCAGACTGGAGGAGAAGGGATTGCCACTCCCCAAGGGGGAGCTTTCTCTTTCCCTCTCTCTGACACGCACATGAACCCTATGACAAAAACCTAAAAAAAAACAAAAAACAAAACAGGAGCAAGTAACCAAAGATATACCTTAATGGTTAGCTCACAGCGTCCATACTTTCAACTACTCGACTCTACAGCCAAGTCCACCCTGCAGCCCCTCCTCTGTCCTGGGTGACTGCAACCTCAGAAAGTGAGGAGAATGAGGACTACTGTTCTGGCAAACTCCTAATTTGGAGGTTCATGACTTTAAAGCTAACTCCCGTTATACCAAAGCCAAAGCAAACATCCAACCAAGTACCTTGGGCCACTGGGACAGCCTGTGACAGGAGTACAGGGCACTGATTCCGATCCTTCCCAGCAGGGTTCTGTCTACTTCGCTATTGTGTGGGTCTTTGCTAACTGCAACACAAGGTCGGGGCACGAAGAAGAAATGGAAACAGTCACTTACAATGAGGAAAAGGCAAACTGAACGGGAGCTGCTGACACTGTCCCAAAGATCAGGTGTCAGCAAACTGTGGCCACTGGCCAAATCTAGTGGGTGGCTTTTTCCTATGGCCTACGACAAACAGTTTAGTTTTAATCTATTTTTAACAGAGAGGAAAGGGAAAGTATGCGCTAGAGCTCATGTGTCACCGGTGTGTGCGATGCCTTACATGTCTGCTGTCCGGCCTTCGACAGAGGAGGTGTGCCGGCCCTGGGTCTGGTAAAGACTGCTAGTGAAGAGCCACGCTAACAAGCCCCAGACAAACCAGCCCACCCGTAAGACCCAGGAGTTCTGTAAACGAGACAGCTGGGGAAGGTAGAAGTGCACTCCCCCGTGTAATCTGATACAACAGTTTCATACTCTGAATGAACAGAATGGGAAACCCTTGAGACAAGAACAGCCATCCTTGGCTTTTCCTCACTGTGACCCAAGGAGCAGAGGGAAGCGCTCCTAAAGAGAAGCGTGGCTAAAAGCCGCGGCGTTTATCCCCCCATGGAAAATCTGAGGGCTCTGTACTCCTGTTAAGAGCGCGGCACTGCACTCACACACGATACTCAAGACTACGACAGCGACATTTTACCTGTTTCAGCAAATTCACAGAAAGGGACGCACGGTCTTTCTTCTTGAGAGTCTTTTGTTAGTGCTTCAGCAATACAAGCACAAAGTCTCTGGAAATCTACAAAATTTTCACAGCCCATTTTTATGTTAATGTATAAATTTCCCAATTTGGTCCAGTCACCTTTTTCTTTACAATGCTATCAAAATTATTAAAACAAAACAAAATGTAAAAAAAAAAAAAGGAAAAAGGAGACAAGAAAGAAGGAAAACCAAGTCACTTATGCAAGCCTTCACGGCACCGGGCACGCGGGCGCTGGACGTACAGGGTCAGTAAGACGTGCTGCCGAGGCCCTGCAGACTTGCAGCGCCCTCCACAGCACAGCCCTGCAGAGCAAGGAGGACTTCACTTTCTGACTGAAGCCAGGCTCTGGCTGGGCTCCCACGAGTCCCGGAGAGCCCTGCGTGTAGTCTGGTTACCTGGTCCCTAAGGTACCTCCTGATGGCACCCCAACCTGAACTGACGGAGGGGAGCACCTGGAGAGCAAGGGGCAGCCCGCAGCTCACGGGTGCAGAGACCACATCCACCCCAGCCCGGCCCTGGGTGACCTGGGCCCACACCTTAGTTTCGAACTTCACATTTCTACAAAAGGGGTTGCAAAGCAAAGCTCTGCAAACCATCTTCCTGCTGTTTCCTACTATGAACTAAGACGTGGTTTACTCACTAACAGAGAGTCATACCAAGGATATAAAAATAGGAATGAAGCTAGACTGAGATTAATAGATGAACAGAAAAACGACATGAGGGACCAGCAGAGGGCATACTGGTTCTGTCACTGGATTCCCATGTAGTCGATCCTGGTTTGAGCCCCAGACCCAGCAGCTTAAAGCTCATGCTTCGCGCATGTGCCCAATATCCCAAGAGGAGAATAGAGGAGCAGGGACTGTGGTGGATCACTCCCAGGGGCTGATTTATCCCTTTCTGTCTCTCTTTGTCTCCCTGGCAAGAGCATTCACCCTATAGCCAAAATCTCTCAAAAAAAAAAAAAAAAGGAAAAACAATGTGAAATTTAGGACAAGCGCTCCGCCCTCTCGTGTGCTCTTAGCTCCTGAAGAGCACAGTGTAACCCTGGCTTCTGTGTCACACTGCCCGTGACCACGAAGCCAGCTGCTCTAAAGACGAAGCTCTGGGTGACAGAGATGATTTTACTTAACAAAATGTGTTTTCAAACCGAATAATTATTTAAAGATTATTTTCAGAATAGTCCACAACTCTGAAATTGTTTCCTTTTCAAAACATAAACTTGTTAAAAAAAATCAAACTTTTTTCCCTGGAGCATTTTCTCTGTGTAATGGCTACCTTTCTAGGGCAGTTCCCACGATGGGGTTATCATATTTTTTGGTTTCTGAGTTCCAAAGACACCAGCAATGTACTTTTTTTTTTTTAAGTCATACCTCTATCTCAGTCAAGGCCGCATCTAAGTCCCACTTCCAGTTCTTGGTGAATTGCCTCATCTGTAACCTTTAACAGGAACAGGAGAGTTAGGCGTACAGCCGTGCCCTACAAGTCACTACCGCTCCTGGCTCACTTGGGTATGGCGTACACCTAGGAGACTTGAGAACAGAATGCATGTAACATGCTAAAAGCTCTCCGGAGCTGGAGCAAGGGCCCTGCACAGGTGCAGAGCCTCCTCCCCAGGCCCAGGCCACGGAGAAGGAAAAGCGAACCCCACAGAGGCGCCCTGTCGTGCTGCCCGATGTGAAGCCAGACAGCACCACTTCCCAATGCTGCGACTGAGAAAGGCGCAGGCTCTGGCTCCGCCACCTCACTGCTCGCGAGGTCTGCGCGAGACACAGAGCAGAGGGCTGGGGACCCCAGCAGGTCCGTGTGGGCTAGAGCAGGCCCTGCCCAGCCGCCGGGGCGACAGTCAGTGCTGCTACTCCGCAGGTTGGGGCCACTCGGGAGGCTGGTGTGTGCCTCCTGGCTGACCCTGAGAGCCTGGCATCATGGTTATTCAAAGGCTGAGGCAGGAGGGTCGTGACATGAGGAGATCTGTCTAAGACAAAACAACAAAACAAAACAAAGCAGAACCCAAGGGTGCCTGAGCTCCCAGCCACTTGGGAGCTGAGACAGGAGGCTCACGCCACACCCTCACAGCTTAAGTGCTGGGCCCAGCAGCTTGAGAAACACACCAGGTGTGTGTGCTTGGGCCCCAAATGCCAAAAGGAAGGGGAGATGGGGAAGAGACTGTGGCGTGCTCATTGCCCACTGGGGTGCTTTCTCCATCCCCCACCCCCCACCCCACCCCCGTTCTCAGGCAAAAGCACAAACCCTCTAGCCAAAAAAAAAAAAAAGGCAATCTTTGAAGTATGTATCTTTGGGGAAAGAAGAAAGACAAAAATGAAAGAAGTACCCTTTGCAACTGGAAAAGGGGAGGAAAGGAAAAGGGGAACGAAGGAGCCGTTGCGCCAGGAGTACCTACGGTGGCACCCCACGAGGGGTCGGCTCAGTAACTGTGCCCAAGGTTAAATCCTCCCCGGGCTTTGCGAGGAAAGGCGGCTTCCTCACCCCCCTGCTGAGTGAGGGTGACACAACAGCAGACAGGACAGAGACTGCCACTCGAGCAGGAGCACGGTGGAGACCCGGGGCAGGCGGCTTTACTCTGCAGAGACCACGGTGAGGCCGTCGTGCTGTGCCCTGGCGGCTTTACTCTGCAGAGACCACGGTGAGGGGGTCGTGCTGTGCCCAGCACCTCCTGCTGCAGCAGAGAGCACCTGGGTCTGGGTAGCTCAGGAGCTGAGGCTCGTGCGGCTCAGGTTGGAGACCCCAGGCCCACAGAGGTTGCCACAGCGTGACAGGACGGAGCGCTATCTGCGTGTCTGTATGTCTCCGTCCCTCTGCTCACAAACATACCGGGACTCAGCCGTGCGGCCGGCCCTGCTGACCTTGACCCGAGCCTCCTCCCCAACGCCATAACTAGGTCAAGTTTCCATCTAATTCGGTCACGGGGCCTGATGCCAGAATCTCGGAAAACGCAGACCACAGCATCCTGCACCGGTCCCTACATCCATGTACTGATATTTCTGCCCTACCAAATCATCCCGAATAGCACTCTAAATTGATCCGCATAGAGAGATTCCTTGTTCTCGTTTACCCTTGTGAAGTGTTCCAACATGGGCTACACAAAGGTGCCCGCTCACACCCAGGTAACCAGGCTGCTCCCAACACTCCACAGCTGTGCAGGCGACTTTGTGCCGACAGAGACGTACTTTCGGGGTACATTCTGGACTCGAGATGGCTAGTCCAAGGGGAGTGCCCTGGGACAGCCGCTGAAAACTGGGAGGGGAGATGCTCACACACCACGCCACTCCCAGCCAGAGTGAGAGGCGTCAGAAACGCCCAAGACCATCCAAACCGGGTGCCCATGGCGGCAAAGGAAAGGGAGGCAGGCGGACCAGTCACGCAGCAGCACTCGGCTCACAGAAGGCCGTGCCAGTCCCCACTGAAGGCTGATGTGCTCCGAGCTCACAGGCACACAGGTCGGCTGTGACTCCTCCCAGCGCTTCATGGCCACCAGCCTCCCCAGCGCGGCATCGGTGAGCTAGACAGCTTATCAGCGCTCGGCCCTCTGCGCCCCAACACACACGGGGCAGCCTCGGCAAGGAGGGCTTCTCACCTGGACTTCACTTCCAGCACTGCACTTACTTCTTCTTTGGAAGCCTGTACTTGGTGCAGGAGCTTAATGATGTAATTACAGTGTTCTGGGTCAAGCAGCATCCCAGCCTCGACAAGCTATAGAAGAGAGACAGAGCAGTCCTCATAAAAACTTTAAAGAGTTGAGAGCCAACACACGAAAACAAGGAGACGGTCAGGGAAGGGGAGGCCAGCCGTAGGGAGGGGCCGCGCAGTGCTGCCCGCTGTGAAGCCCGATGTGCACACCCCAGTGCCTGTGGACACGACCAAGTCCCGGTGAGATGAGACTGGGGTGGCCTATGGCATGGTCCACCCCAACGCCAACCGGGGCTCTGGGTGACAAGGAGAATGAGGGTTAGGGGTGACTCAGCTGAGGGATGTATGAAACGCAGGGAGCGACATGTCTGCTGAGAATCTTCTACGGTTTTGGGGAATATCCCCTCTGTAGAAATCACTTAAATTTTATCAACGGTTTTAAATGTTTGGAAGAGTGGATGCCTTACAGCCCCAGTGGGGGTTTGGAAGGAGTGAGTGCCAGGAAAGAAGTTTGGGGAGGTAACAGAAACAGTAGGGGAGCAGGGAGGAGCTGCTGCCGAGGGAGTCCTGGGTGAGAAGTCTCAACAGGGTGCCAACGTTTGGCTGTTAGAACCTACGGTTGATGCCTATTTTGAGAATTTCTTTAGTGAACAAAAATAGTGAAAAGTTGCTGAGAGACTGTCCCTATCTTTGGACTCTCGGGAAAAGTCTCGAATCCAGTAGCACTAGACCCCTTTAGGATGGGTCCTAGAAACTCCACCCTAACCGTGCGGTCAAACGACTGGGAATGAAAGTAGCTTTGGTAAGTAAGACCGTAAAACTGACTGGGTTAAAGCCTGCTCTGAACATCAGGCTCGAGTCTTTGGACTCTCTATCAGCTCTGGCCTCAAAGCATGCTCAATTTTACCTCCAACAAGGAGAACAGCTCTCCTCACCCTCCAGCTACCTTCACAGGTGTTTTCTAAACTTTATGAAGTAAGAGAGCAAGCACCGAGGTCACTGCCATCTGGAAGTACCATGCCGGGTTATCCGTGGTCACTGGCCATGTGGTGACTTCTGAGTAAAAGGAGTGCCCACTGCAAATGAACCTGCAAAATGACGAGCTAGCTGGTCACTGACTCACTTCTGAACGTCTGCCCGTGAACACTGCTCAGTAGGCTAAACATAACTGCTCTGGACAAGCCAGGAGACGCCCAATGCAGTAATCAGCAGTGAACTGTCCCTGTCTCAGTGACGGTGTTAATTAGACGGGACATGGTACAATGCTAGAGGAAGGAGCAGGAACCCCCTCCACGATGCGATCTGGTCTGCCATCACTGAAGTAGTCCCAGCAGGGAAACTGGCACTAGACAGCTTCTAGAAAGGAGGCTCCGTATGAACCACGCAGACCTGAGGTCACTCTCTTGGTTAGAGATTCTCCATTTGGACAATCACTTGTACAGTAACCAAGGTACGTTTTGCAGAAAGTCAAGTTATGCAGTAACAGGCCATTTATGTGACTCGTAGCTGAGGTTTTTTACAACTACTAAAGGTGATCAGTAACTTCTGATTCAAAAAATTTCCAGGGCCAGCCAGCAGCCTGGTGGTTAAAGCAGCTGAATCCCACATGGCCGTGGGTGATTCCAGTCTTGGACCTGGTGACTTGAAAAACACACTGGGCACGTGTGTGTGTGTGTGTGTGTGTGTGTGTGCGCGCGTGTGTATTTAAACTCCTAAAGGAGAGAGAAAGAAGAGAAGGGGCTGGGGAGGACCGTGCCTGGGGTGTGGGCAAGGGGTGCTTCTCTCTCTGCGTCTTTGCCTCTCTTGGTGAAGAAATGTGCTCTTTAGGAAGAAAACCCAGGTAAGTCATTCTGCCACATTCTGTAACGTCAAACTCGAGTCCTTCACACAAGTGTCTGCTCATCTGCTATGGCAGATCCAATGTTGCTTCTGAAGGAAAAGGCGGGGCTTCCCTATCGTCAGGCCTGTTCTGACATGGCTGACTGGACAGCAGCAAACACTAGCATGCACTCAACCAAAATGAACATTTTAACTTATTTTATAAGAGCCACAGCAATTTCTGTTGCTTTTTGTTTAGTGCCCAATTTAAAACTATCCTTAGTTGCCATCTTTCCGTTTCCTTTGTCCTGCTCACACTTTCCTGTATATATGCCGATTTATTTTTGTTGTGAAAGACCTCGAATCTTCTGGAGAAAGAACAGAACTGTCACCCTTGAGGAGTACAGGTAAAGACGGTTCACGGTCAGAAAGAAGGCCCCAGAGGGCACGCAACTACCGACAGCAGGGAAGGCCGGTCGGCCTGGGAGTCTGGCTATAAACTCGACTTCAAGAGAAAAGAGACTTGTCTGAAAATAGCTTTGGCTTCCAATGTATGAATCAGAGGCAGTTCAAAGGCACAAGTGGAAACAATCACTCTTGGTTACTCACTGTCAGAAGAGACGAGAACGTAAAAGCGTACCTTACAGAAGACATCGATTAGAGCAGGTACCGCATTCCTTAATTTCATAGTTGCCACGTGCTCGAATACTTTCAGCAATATTTTCAGAGCAGGCTGAAGAGACAAAAAAATGACACTCACTTTCATGTCTTCTTTTAGGGCATGTTAAGTTTCTCAAATTCATTTATGCTGGAAAATAAGTATTCTCTAGGAAGTATTGAACACACAGAGAGGTTTAACGGCTAAATTCAAACCTACCCCAGAGAAGGGAACGTAAAATTCCCAGTGCGAGGGCCCGGCAGACTCACCAGCATGTTAACCGTGAGGCCGAGGCTCACCACCTGAAGCACTTCTTTCAACAAGCAGTGTCTGAGCAAGGCACTCAGAAGGTCATTGAGCACTTGGGCATCGAAGTGCACGCCCGGAGGGAACTTCCTGTAGTACTCCAGGAACATGCTCACTGAGAACAAGCAAGTACAGGACAGTCACTTGCTATTTTTAAGATAGCCATCTTTCCAAAATTAACTTTTCTATATCTAAAGTCACGTGAATTCATTTCTTAAAAGGCACAGTTCCAGTACTAGAAATATTTGATAAAGATAAAAGCGAAAGTCAAAATGGTAGTAATACTCGAGCAGCACCGCACGGGCTATTCCACGCTACACTGGGAGCTGACTCACACGCTACCCACAAAGAGCAGGCCTGAACTCCTGGCAAGTCGGGCTCCCAGGGGCCTGGAGGCCGGGGCCCGCTATGCAGGAGAGCAGTATTGCCGGTGATGACTGCACACACCCCTTCTCGCTTCGCCCCATCATGTCACCCCTTGGGCGTGTTTCTGGCTCCAGTTCATGATTAGGGACACTGATACACATTACAATAATGATGCATTTCTTTCGAAAAAGTAGTCCTTCCAATTCCTTAATCTATTTTTTCTTTCTTTTTTTTTACGAGAGAGACCCTCAATAGGGTCTCATGCCATCTCCTCTACACCGCTCCCAGAGCCCCAGCTCCGCCCTGGCCCGCCTTCTCCACCAGCCAGGATGATGGGTGCACGTTCAGGCTGACCGCAGGACTGAACCCGTGAGCCTCCACCTATGACCCAGCGTCCCTCGGGCAGCACGTCACCGCTGTGTCACTGAGCCAGCCCCTTCTACTTTCCATACAAAGCTTAAGCCATTTCCAGCCGTCCCCCTGATTTCACTGAACCCCTTGGTTGCATTTCCCCCATTCCAGAATTTATATGATTCAGACTCCTGTGTGTGTGAGTGGTGGTCTGGAGAGGGTCAGTGTACTGCATCCTTCCTGCCTCGGCCTCTGAGCAGCCGGCTGCAGACGCACGCCACGGAGCCGGGCTGCAGGGTGGGCTGAGAATCATACCCAGGCCTCCCGTGGACCCAGATCGTGCCGTGAAGCTGCACCCAAACCCACAGGAGGAAATGACGTTTGTGCTTTTGTAAACAGCTGACAGAGCTCGCTCTTCTTACAAACTGGAATCCTTCTGTATACTATTCATGGCAAATCTAGAGTATTTGAAGGTAAGAGGCTTTTAAATTTTTTGAGAGAGAGAGATTTTTGCCATAGGGTGCGTGTGGTCCCTGGAGAGACAGAGAGGCGGAACGTGAGAAATCACCCCAGGGGGAATGGCCTCACAGTCCCTTCTCCTTCAGTCTCCTCTCGGGATTGTTGGGCATGCATGCACACGTGCCCACTGTGAATTTTAAGCTGCCAGGTCTGGGACTTGAACCGCGTTCGACTACGTGGGAATCCAGTGACATAACCATTACGCCATCTGCTGGTCCCAAAGGTAAGAGCTTTCTATAGTTTAAATTTACATGATCCAGATTAATCTTCTAACTTTCTTTGATTACTTTAAATTGCAAAAATGATCACCTTTCCGAAATTCTGATTTTAAAAACCTAAGTTTTCAACTGAACTGCTAATGCACCGTAGCATTCAGTATGTGCTAAACAGTTGTTTTTAGAATTCAGTCATGAAATATCCAGAAAAGGAGTGCGCTGTGCAATTCAAGTACAGAACGGACACAAGCGGCCCTGCGGCTTCACTCTGGGATGGAGCACCCGAGAGGGCAGAGGCTCGAGCACTCGGGTGTCAAAGCTCACTCGCTACTTGGCCGTCAAAAGGTGCAAACAGCCCTGCTGTCCATCATCAGGGGGCGGGACCCACAAGACACGGGATGCACACAACGGAAACGACACGTGCTACAACACAGGTGAATGTGCAGACACGCCCTAAGTGAGACACACAGACGGGGCTGGGCGGGAAGAGAGGAGGAGAGCAATAAAGAAAGGATGCATGAAGGAGTTTTTATTTTTGCAGTTTTTTGTAAATGTTAAATTATTTATAGATAGTGAAAACTTTTAGAAAAAGAATCTCGTGTGAAAAGGCAAATAGGAATGAGGTCAACATGGATGGATGGTCAGTCAGAGTCCAGAACCCAACCCGTCTAGCTACCTCCTCTGTGCCCCAAGCAGTCCTGGAGGCCTCCCTCCAGGCAGAGCCCACACAGCTATACCCTCCCCCCCTTTTTTGGAGAGGTTTTTGCTATAGGGTGCATGTGCTCGCCAGAAAGGCAGACAGAGAGACAGAAAGCGAGAGATCACCCCTCAGGCCCACATCGCAATCCCTTCTCCTCCATTCTCCTCTTGGGAACACATGCCCGGTGTGAGTTTAAACCACCAGGTCCGGGACTCAAACCGTGGTCGGCTACATGGGAGTCCAGTGACACAGCCATTACGCCAGTCCCCACCTGCCCTTTACACTGGAGTGTCCACGCCTCCTCCGAGTTGCTACCCAGCTGTCTCATCCCTTACAGTTCCCCTCTCAGACCCAGCGGTCTTTCTAAACACCTAAGCCCTTCATGCATGCCGTCAGGGCTCTCTGAGCTACCCATTCCGCCCCGCTGACTTCCGTGTGCCTTTACATCAAACAATTCGCACGGATCCCTGACACCTTCCTGCATTTACTGTTTGCTACAGGTCCTTACTTCCCTTTTGCTCGTTTGTTGTTTTGAACTAAAAGCAGGTGTATCTTCCTGTGGCCATCCTGGGTCCCACTGTGGGAGAGGCACACCTTCCCAGGTCATCCTCTTTTCTCCACACCTCATGTTACGGAAGGTCCCGTCAGACGGATGTAGCAGCTAATTAACAGCCTTTTCTCTATCTCACAGCTCGAAATAAAACGTCCAAGCCGTGAAAATATTAGCATGCAAGGGAATCACAGTGGCAGACAGACGCACTTCTTTTTTTAATAACTAAAATACTTTATGTATGTATTTATTTAGAGTCAGGTTCTCTATTACAACCTCCTGCTTCAGCCTCCCGAGCTGCTGGGATTAAAGGCATGCACCAACTCTAGGCTGGACAAGGAGTTGATCCTGAGCCTCTCGAGAGGTCCGGGATGCAGAGCACCAAGCAGTGTGTGCCACCCACCTTGGCCCCATGTGGACTTGCAACCCTTTCTTAGGTCAGAGACAGTGGGAGACACCCGGCCTCCTAGTGGCAAGCATTAAGCTGGCCTGCAAACTGCAGGCCACAGCGTGCCCTGTCTGGACACCCACGTTAACGGCTCTGAGCCGCTCAGCGGTCGCATACCTGCACGCTGCAGCAAACACAGCTCATTGACACTTATATATTTCTTGAACACATCCATGCACACCTGAAAAAGTTATGGAAAAAACTATCTTTTTATATTTCATAAGACTTATATAAATTTCAATTCTATCTTTTTGCTTATTTAAAATTTTTAAAATGAATTTTAAACACTGGAATAAGGAAATGGATGTTCGGTTAACTCACAGATCTGAGAAGCATGTTGAATTTAGTACAAAACCCTTATTCAGGTTATTCTGAAACAGCCACTTCCCGGGTTGAGGACAAACACGCCAGCTGGAGCCAGGCACAGTAATGCCGCAGCGCCCTGGGGAGGGATCTCTGAAATAAACCGTGCTGGGTCACCTGGAGATCCTGTGTGTGAGGGGGATGTATCCTGACCCTCTTCTCATATCCTAAACAAAAACCCATTCCTGCCAGATTAGTTATAAATGCAAAAGGTGAAAGATGGGAATAGCTTCAGGGTCTTGGCAAAGGTACTTTAACAGGATACACAAAGTTAACACCACAAAAGAAAATAATTGACAGACTAAACTATGTAAAAATTAAGAAATTCTGTTACTTTAAAAAGGTGATGGGGGCTGGTGGGTGGCATGGCTGTTGAAGCGCTGGACTCCCACATGGATGACCATGGTTTGAGTCCCAGACCCGGCAGCATGAAATCCATGCTGGGTCCATGTACATGCATGCCAGAATCCCCGGGGAAGAATGGAAGAGATGACACTGCAACATGGTCAACCCCAGGTGATTTCTCACTCTCCTCCTCTCTCTGTCTTTTTCTGGCGGGGCACAAATGCCCTAAGGCAAAAATCTTAAAAAAAAAAAAAAAAAAAGAGGGTGAAAGGCAATTTGTAAAGTAGTAAAATATATGTACAAGACACACATCCGACAGCTGGCATCAGATTATATAATGAATGCTTACAGCTCTGTAAGAAAGAGATGATCCCTACAGAGACGAAGTAAACGGTTATGAGTACCAGATTCAGTGTGGGAGGAGGGCGGCTGAAGGAGTAGAGTCTGAGGAAGCACATTAGGGAGAGAAACAGAGGCGAGGCGTGTATGAGACAAAGAAATGGACTATTGTCTATGGAAGGCAGCTTTCTAGAATGGTGACCTGGACTGGTAAACGTGGACCACCTGGTACACATGCTGGGATATTCACTTTGTAAGCTAAGTACTGTGACTGAAAGTATAAAATAGAAATAAAAATTTAAAAAAGAGAAGGAGACGATCCCATAGCGTACAGGAAAATATTTGGATGCTTCTGAAAAGCACATCTGAATGTCCAATAAACGTGTCAAAAGATGCTCACGTCACCCACCATCAGGGACAGCACCAACGCCCACCTGTCAGAACAGGTCAAATCAAAAGGCTCACGACATTAAGAGATGTGAGGGCGTGAAGCAGCCAGGCATTGCTGAGAGCAGACGCTGGCACCAGCACTTCGGAAACCCGCTTAGCAGCGCTGCCAAGGTTTAACACAGGTGGACCCTGGCCAAGCAATTCCTGAGAATGTATAATCTAGCTGCATGTGTTTATATGTTCATTCACCAAAAGACGTGCAAAAAAACGCCTCCAGCCCCTCTACTGCAATATCCAAATCTGGAAACCATCCAAGTACTCATTAACAGTGTTATTAGCCACAAATAAAGTTTCACACAGTCACATAGTGTAACATCAGCTAGCATGCAGCATTGAGAAAGACATAGCTACAGTTAAATTTAAAATATACAGACAGATCTCAAAAATACTGAGCAAAAAAGGCAGACACACACGAAGACACACCACGACTCCACTTTCACAAAGCACGCCTGACACAGTTGCCAACACGGCCTGTATCTTACCTTCTCATCGCCCTGCTCAGGCACATGCGCAAACTTGCACGGTGATCGCTCACAGCCACGGAATGTATTAAAATGAAATTTACAGTATCTATGGGGTATCATCAATCCTAGTGGCTTCTGGAACACCTAGAACATGAGAAAAATTCCCTTTCTGTGTTAACTGTGGAACACTTACTATAATCAAGTAAGGCAGTATCTGAAGCAGCAGAGCTATTAGACGCCCCAAGCACTGTCAGGATAAACTGCTTGCCAATTTGCTAAAAAAACATAAAACTCCAAACAATTTATCTTGTTAAAATAATGAAAAATTAATTTAGAGTGCTTTGTCTGTGAAGTTTCTCAATTTCTCTTAGTGTAAAATATTCCTCAAGGTTATTACTATTTTACATTATACTTTTCATTTTTAGAATTTTTTTTTTTTTTTTTTAAGTTTTTGCCATAGGGCATCTGTGCTCACCAGAGAAAGACAGTGAGAGGGGAAGTGAGAAATCACCCCCTAGGGGGGATGGCCACGCCACAGTCCCTTCTCCTCTATTCTCCTCGGGGTCTTTGGGATGCGTGTACATGCACCTAGCATGATTTTCAAGCCTCTAGGTCTGGGACTCAAACTGTGGTTGCTTATGTGGGAGTCTAGCACCTTAACTACCATGCCACCTGTTGGCCCTAAAGACTTTTCACCAATCAATCAATCATTTATTGTGATTTTTCAAGCTACTAGGTCCAGGATTTGAGCTGCAGTGGGCCATGTGGGAATCCAACACCTTAACCACCATGCCACTGGCTAGCCAAGGAGACTTTTTAAAAAATATATATATTTATGTATCTATCTACCTATTATTTGTTGTAATTTTCAAGCCACCAGGTCCAGGAGCCTGGTGAACCACAGTGGACCATGCTGGAAGCCAGCACCTTAATCACCATGCCACTCGCTGGCCCTGAAGACTTTCTAAAGGAACTGAGAGTCAGGGCAGAGAGCGCACACAGGCTCCCCGCCCCCACGCCAGCTCTCACCTCCTTGCACTCCCCCTGCCCTCCTCTGCATCCCTCCTGTCACAATGCTAAGCTATCACTATACGCATCACATCTCAGATGCCTTTACCAAAACCAAAGGTTTTAGTTTTTCTATTTAAAAATAAGGAAAATGAGAATGAAAACTTTTTACAACAATGCTTTCCCACAAGCTGCTTTATGCCACTAGCTCTGTCACCACAGGAACTCCTCTGCAGTTTCTGTCTGGGATGTCCCTCTCCTGTCATCGGAGCCACTGCGCACTTTCTGCCTCTTACCCTCCAGCCCTCAATTCAAAACCCACAGCCTGCCTGGAACTGCTTGAAGATAACAAGGAAATACACCCGTAGGGTCCAAAGTAGTGTTTCACAAGATCTTTAAGAAGTGGAGGACTTACCCCTACATGTTTTTCTCTCTTAAATACTTCTTCACAAGTTTCAGGATTCTGTAGCTTTATGATGGAATGTTTTCCTGGAAATCTGAAATCTAGAAATGATTTAGAACAACATTAAGCACCAATGTGTTACAATGTATTTCCTTCTAACAATGAAACGCAAGATCCCTTCTGTCTGCTTCCAAGTTTCACTCCAGGAAGTTCCACTCCATGTTGAGCTCAGACTACACTGCCCTTGGGGTTACCATAAAATGTAGGCGATTTAGACGCCTGCAAGTACTTCTGGACCTGAAATGAAAAGTTAAGCTCACCATAACTGCAGAGTACTATCCTGAAAGTCTTACAAGGGAGCAGTGAGAACTGCACTCAAACACTACTCTCTAAGTTGAGCAGTACGCACAGCAAGTCTTTCTGAGGGAAGAAAACTACTGACAATCCAGGCACTACTGAATGATTTGTGCCCCTCCCCACTTACATTTGGAGCCCTAACCCCCAAGGTGACTGTGTTTGCAGAAATAATTACAGACATCTGCGGTCAGGAGGGCAGGCCTGATCTGATAGGATCAGTGTCCTTATGAAGAGGGACAGGAGGCCCAGCTGTGGAGGCTGCCCTCATGGAGGCCTGGAGAGACATCAGAATACGCCTCTCCCTCTCTGGCTTGCCCTCATTTAAAACCACAAAGATGACGAAGAGCTCACCTTCACTCTCCTGGCCCACACTGAGGAAAGCCTAGATAGGCCTGGACATGGTGGTGGACAGGGCGCCTTAGAGACCAGACCCTGCCCGGCTGACACCCCGGCTCCGTGCACTCCACATCATGTAATACACACTGCTGGGGCACCTGTCAGGTCTGCCGCGTTTGTTAACAGTGGCTGGAGCTGATGTGCAACACCAGGAAATACACCCTCCATGCTGATATTTATAAACGAGAACTACATTTTTTTTAAATAATAATAATTTATTTAACTTATTCATTTATTTTAATTTGACCAAAAAGAGATACACACAGAGTGAGTGAGGAAACGTGAGAAAGCAAGGCACCAGGTCCAGGACTCAAACTGTGGTTGGTCACGTGGGAGTGTCCAGCGCCTTAACCACCATGCCACGGGCTGGTCCCCTAAAGCATTTTACAATGTACTTTACTGGGACCAGCAGTTGGCATAATGGCTATGTCGCTGGACTCCTCTGTTGCTGACCGCATCGAGTCTCGGACCCAGTGGCTTACGGGCACGTGTGTGTGCGTGCCCAAGATCCCGAGAGGAGACTGGAGGAGAAGGGACTGCGGTGTGGCCATCCCCCCTGGGGGTGATTTCTCACTTTCTCCCTCTGTCTTTCTGGTGAGTGCATGTGCCCTATAGCAAAAACCTCTCCAAAAGACAAGTTCTTTTTTACTAAAGAAAAAAATAACAAAGATAAACCTTTTTTAAAAATTGCTTAGTTTTTACTTTGGCAGCACCCAGATATAACCTGGAACAAACAGAAGGGCTTGCTGCCATCGTGCCCAAGACCGCGCTGGCACCGAGGGCACAGTCGGCCGCGTTGCACTGAGTGACCAGTCTCTAGGCCCGCTCTCAGTGCTGTCTATTCTGTGCAGAGCACGATGCATCACCAGAAAGGCGGCATGTATATGAATTCTAAACTACATGGAGAAGTCACTCAAAACTCGGCTACTCTAGGCAAAGCCTGGCGCGGCCTTGGAATTGCTTAGTTTTTACTTTGGCAGCACCCAGGCTGCCACACCACCCAGAGCAGCATCTCAGCGGAGGCACAGAGCAGGGCCTCATGCCCCCGTTCAGAGCCACTCCTGCCCGCCTCCCTCCTGCGGAACCCCACCTAGCTCCTAGCCTACCAGGGGCCCACAGGGCTCTGCCAAGGAAACCCACGGTACCGTGCACCCAGGACTGTGTCGCCGCGTCTTCCTGACAGCCGCTCTGACTGGGTGGGGGCACCAGCACACGCACAGCCTGGGCTCCCCCTGCTCGCTGGTACGTGCCAGCCGCTGTCTCCACGTGTCTGGCGTTGTTGCTGTATGAGCAGAAAAAAACCAGAATTCCAATTCATTTTAAAAGCATTTTTAAAGTCCGAGAACCAGAGAAGCTGACACATTCACAAAGGTCTGTCTGTGCCCCAGCCTCCGTACCACAGCCCTTCCACATCTTCAATGGCCGTCTCTGCCTTCTTGAATAGAAAACCAAACCTGCAACGTGGTCGGAGGAGGCAGAGGGGGTGGTGCGGTGAGAACCTGAATGAAACATTTCTGACCATGTCAGACAGAAGGGGCACGGAATGGGACCAGCAGTTGGCGTAATGGCTATGTCACTGGACTCCCACGTAGTCGACTGAGGTTCGAGTCCCGGACCTGGTGGCTTAAATTCACGCTGGGTCTGTGTGTGCATGCACAAGATCCCAAGAGGAGAACGGAGGAGAAGGGACTGCGGCGTGGCCATCCTGCTGGGGGGTGATTTCTCACTTTCTGTCTCCTGTCTCTCTAGTGAGTGCACACGCCCTATAGCAAAAACCTCTCCAAAAAAATTAAAAAAAGAAGGTGCCAGGAATTATGCTAGCAACTCTTACCCAGGAAAGCTCATCCTGTCATTCCACTGAGAGGGCAATGGAAGAAATGAATTATACATGATTTTTCAGGATGAGAAGATATAATAAACCTACCATGTCTTTGAGAGGTTTGTCTGGGGAGAAGGTATTTAAAATTGTATTGTTTTTTGTTCCAGGACTGCTGATCGAAATGGCTTTCACTGTATTTGAATACATAAGATCCTAAATAACCGGGTTCATAAACACTCAGTCTCGAAGTTACTTACCTAGAGGATAAATATTTTTTTCATGTTTTTAAAGGGAGTTTTGCTGTAGGGCACATGCCCTCACCTGAGAGACAGAAAGAAAAAAATCACCCCCCAGAGGGGATGGCCATGCCACAATCTCTTCTCCTCCACTCTCCTCTCAGGATTTTGGGCATGCATGCACATGGGCCCGGTGTGAGTTTTAAGCCACTAGGTCTGGGATGCAGACCGCAGTTGACTACAAGGAAGTCCAGTGACGTAGCCATTATACCATCTGCTGGTCCCAGAAAATAAATATCTTACGCAAGGAGGAAGGGGTGAAGTGCTTCAAATACAATAAACTTATTTTTTAGGAGAGCGACTTATACCAACCCCAGATAAGATCATTTTTTACCTTAACAACAATTCTAATAAGCTTTTTGCTGGGGTCTCCTGGGCCAGAGGAGAGTGAAAATAGCAACAGGAGGGGCTCACACTTATAATGACCAAGACTTAGCAGTACTGATTAACTTTTTTTTCGATATGAGTTTTGGCAAAGAAAGATAGGGGGAGAGAGAGAGAGAGAGAAAGCAAGCTGCCAGGTCCGGGACTTGAACTGTTGTTGGTCATGTGGGAGTTCCAGCACCTCCAGCATCATGCTGGCCAGGCACTGATGAACTTTTAAAATTCCACACGGAATAGTCCTTTCTCTGTCCAATGTGGGATATGACGACGCAGTCACCCCCTGGATAAAACAGCAGCAGTAACGAGAACAGACACGAGCACCGCGGCCCTCCTAACGCCAGGAGAAGGCTGCTTAGCTCTCCCGTCTCTGACTGCGTGGCCAAAGCGCAGGTGCTGTAGCGACCTGCTAATGCCACACTGGGTGACAGCCACACTGATGATATGCCTATGCAAGGTCCAATGACCTTACTTCACTTTCAATGAAGAACTGTCACCCTGTTACTCTTCCTTTCCCTTGAGGACGTCCAAAGGCTCCGGCCACACTGCCCCGACCGTTCTAAGTCTCACCTGCCCTCCCTCACACAGTGGCTCTCGGCTGGGCAGGGGCAGGGGCAGGAGCAGGCATCGGCCAGCAGACGCCCTGAACAAGACTCAGGGCCCCGACCCCAGAGCTTCCAACACAGGCTGCCCCTGACAACCCCCCGTGATGCTGCTGCTCCGGGGACCTCACTGTGGAAACCACACCTTGTCATGAAAGGACCTGAACACGCTCACCACCTGACCTGGGGTGAGGGCTGCGTGTTCAGGGCGGTCACCACACCCACGGGTACACCTGCATGCCACAGTGTCCGTCTGATACAGCCACATTCATGTCATGGAGGTCATAAGCACATCCCTCTTTCTCCCTACTTACGTTTCCTCGGAAGTATGTTAATTGCTGGAAACTCTTCGTGACAGGGACCCTTTAAATCCTGGCACACTAGACCCACTAATAAATGACACCCACTTATGGTATGGCTAATGCACAGTGACCCACACAGATGTGAGCGGAGCTACAGAAATGTTATGAGAAAGGAAAATTTGGTGCCCCGAAATCAAAGTCCACACACAGCATTTTCATGATACGTACTTTCCATGAACTTTTTAAGGACCCGCACATGCAGCACAGAACAAAACACACTCCAGGCACAATGAGCGACCACTATAAAGTTATGTCATTAACGGTTGTGTTACAGACCTTTTGCAAGCTTCATAAGTATGTCCTTTTCCTTCCTCAATAATCACTTTGTCTGAGAATCTACACTGTAAAGAGATCATGGGAAAGTAAGTACCACTGAATAGTTCTGTGTTAAATATTAAGTTCCGACACTTATCAGAGTGCCCAGACTACATTAGATAGTAAGCAACTATGTTCACAAAAGATGGACAGCCCTGAAAACAAGTCTATGTAATTTAAAATACTGGATACGTACTTAGACATTTCCAATGCTGCATGAGAAAAATTAATATGAGTCAATATACTTTTCAAGTTTTGATAGCACCTTTAGTTATGCAAGCCATTATTTCAAGTTTTCATAAACAATGTTAATTTTCTTTCTAATTAGGAAAAAAAAAACTTTCAGTGATTTTTATTTTTAAGTGGTATTTAAGAACATAAACTCTTATTTTTCACTAAAGATACGCGAATGCATTCTAAGCACAGCTGTATGTAAAATATTTCAAAAGTAGCTTATTGGGGACTGTGATTTCCTAGTTATAAGAAAGTTACACATGCTCAAATATTAAATTTTTTTGGAAAATATAAAAAAGAGGAACCAAGAAAATTAGCTCTGAAAATATGTACTGCTCCTGCCGCCAGTGATCACTACTTAATATCTTAGTGTATATCTTTCAAGTCTTTAAAAATACATAATCATTTTGTAGTAACGGTATCACACTGTGTATCCTATTAAAACTCTTACAAAAAAAATAACAAAAAACAATTAAGAAAGTAACACATTAACACATGGGAAGATACCATGATGCTGAATAACATAAAGAGTAAAGATGTTAATTCCCCCTAAATTAATCTGTACATTTAAAAAACTACCCCCCAATGTGAGTTTAAAGCACTCTTGGAAGAATACATGAGAAAGAACCAAAAAAATATTTTAAATTTATAATACGTTACCTTTTTTTTTTTTAATCTGCTAGAGGGCATGCGCATTCTAGACACAGAGAGAGGGAGAGTGAGAAGGCAGCCCTCACGTGGGATGGTCATGCTGCAGTCCCTTCTCCATTTCTCTTTTCAGGAGTTTGGGCATGCAGGCACATGTTCTTGGCATGTTTCCAAGTCACTGGGTCTGGGACTCGAACTGCTCAGTCAGCCATGTGGGGTCCAGCTGCTTTAACCATCATGCTACCAGCCGACCCTATGATGCATGTTTTTATCTTTTAAAGAAAACTTACCTCACTATTCTAATTTTTTGACATTATGCTATTAGTACAAGAACTGAGAAATCAATAAAACAAGAGAGACATAAAGGAACAGTTCTACCCATGAAAATTTGAAAATATTAAAGATGACATTTGAAATCCGCGAGGAAATAATCCAGTCAATGGTAGCAGAAGTACCTTATTAACTGGATAGAAAAGAAACATGGCTCTCACTTGCCATATACTAAAATATCTTTCAGGCTCATTAAAGAAAACACTTTAATGTTTTAAAAGTAGCAAAAGTAACAAAAGTAACTAAAGAAAATAAAGCACTAAAAAGCAAAATGTATAGCTGGGTATTTGCATAATTTAAAGGGTA